ACTCGTCAAGTTGAGAGTGCTGCCCCTCAATGGGTTCAGTCATATAAATAATGTCTACTCTACAGTAAATTTCCCTGTAATTGGACTTTGGAGCCTGGTATATGTGACTCACTATTTCTTCAATATGTGTTCTAATGATACTAGCTGTCACTATTTTATAAATATAATTGACATTTCTCATTTAGGGTGATCCGGGATGTAAGTCATGTGGACAAGTTCTTTGGAATGTTCAAATAACAAGAATAGTGGTGTTATAGTAGTGGTGGCACTTCCCAGACCTACCGTAACTGGAAAAACTAACAATGACTTTTCTCCAAAGTCTTATATCAGGCTTTTTTTCCGGGATTTTTTAGGGAAAAACTCAATCTTGAATTGAGTTTTGAAACTCAATCTTCTCACCAAAGTTTCAGTGCAGTAAAAATGAAGTTGTTTGAGTTAAATTTGTGACGTGTGGAAATTAGTTTTCAGTTGGAAACCCGACAATTAAGAAAAAATGGCTGGAATTCATCTCACAACACAAGAAAAACTATGCATTCGCCATTGTTAACCAGTTTATAGTATCCCTCAATGCCCCTGCTTTAACACATTCCGTCTCAACTACATTTGTTGAGTTAATTGTTGAGTTATTAATTTGATAATTATTCTTTGACCAAGTTTAATTAAAATAATACAAAATTAATCATGATTTTGAATCTTTAATTTACAAACATGTTGCAGCTTGGTACTGAGTTTCATTAACAGTTAAGAGGGTCTTTGGGTGTCAGTTGTCAGCTAAAATTTAAGCCAATTGTCAGTTGTCAGTGTAATATATTGCAAGCTGTCAGTAGTCAGTTACTGCAAAATGCTGACTTATAATTTTTTTCATCATTTCTCAGTAGTCAGTTAGGATATTTTGTCAGTTGTCAGTCAAAAATTCAGGCAAATGTCAGTAGTCAGTTAACCCCATTCAGACCCTCAGTTAAACAACAGTGGCATGGACTCATGCATTGTTGGAAAATTCTGCATCTCTATTGTTTTGACACTATTTTCATGACCAATTTTGTTGTTTTGACTTCATTTTGACCAAGTCAGTCAGGTTAGTAACTATCTTGTCTAACATTTAGAGGTCTTGTCTTGTTCAAGTGAGATCTCAAACTGAGCCAGGTTATCCATGCAAATTGAAAGGAATTTCCACTATAAAAATATTAAAATAACAACACAGTGAAGTCTCGCTTACTGCAATATGGCAAAACTAGAGACTCACAATTAACTTAATATTTGAGGGATGGGGCAAACAAGCTAATGGCCTTTAAAAGACACATACAACAAACTATCATACAAATGATACAATACAATACAATCAGAGAGCACATATTAAAACTACAATGTACAATTCTGGATATAAAACATGCCTTCTCACTTCAGCTGGCCCTACTAGGCAGCTGAGCTTTTTCCTGCACCAGTTCACCACAAGCTCATGCATAACAAAACCCTTGGCTAAATAGCCTAAATATATAAAACCTTAATTTCCTCTTTAATACACCAGAACATCATAGTTTCATCATACATGTACTGTTGTGCAACTCGATATTGCGAGGGATGAAATTATTGCATAAAGTTAATACAGTAAATACAAAAAGGTTTATCTACAACCACATTATAAACACTTGTGGCTTATTTTCTAAAAAATAGAGTACATTTTACCATTTATTCCTACCATTTTTTCATGAAATACTAAAATAAAAATGTGAATTTTAAAATGTTTACCTGTTTATAGTTGACTGCATGTTTATAGACTGCTGTTTATAGCCCGGCTTGAAATATCGTTTTTGTCCACATTTTGGGAGGTTTTAATAGTTGTTTGTTGTCTTTTACGGACGAGAATAACGTGTACGACTTTCACATCCTTGAACAAACGGTCAAACGTCGAAAAAATATGTCGAAAATAACAAAACAACAGGAATTGACTGCAAAAATCCGAAATATTTTTTTCAGAAACCAGGGGGGGGGTGAAAACTGTGGCGGGCTCACAATTGAGCCTTGTTCAGTGGCAATTACCATGAATTTAGGGACCAGTAGTCATGGAAATGGCGTCATTTTCACTCAAAATCCGCCATGTTTTTGGCTTCACTTGGTTGACTGAACGAAGTATAGGAGCAGGTCCTCCAGTTATTATACAGCTCAGTGGAGCTCACCCGCTAAACTGCTTACGTTGCAATAACAATAACAAATATGGCGGACAAGATTGAGCCGATAAACCTAAACTTTAAATTAAAGAACTTTTTTCGGTTACTAACATACCGAGACTGAAGAAAAACCAAAGAAAAAATGCAGTAAAGGTAATGTAGACGTAGATAAAGAAGTATTTTCTTGCCCAGTGATTTTTTTGGCCGGGAAAATGTTCACAAAACATCGACGAATATATCGCGAAGAGCTACAAATGTGTGTATGGCTCGGTCAGCCTTGGTGTATGGGATAAAAACCAAACGTACTTGCAGGTTCGGTGAGTCCGGGATTGGACGCACCTCGGGTGGCTGGAAGTTTCCCGAACTCACCTCGCTTCGCTCGGTAAGTTCGGGAAACTTCCAGCCACCCTCGGTGCGTCCAATCCCGGACTCACCGAACCTGCAAGTACGTTTGTTATAAAGCCATATGGTTTTTAGTAGGCTCCTAGCTCACCTCTTGTAAATAGTTTATTTCTTTTATGTGCAATTTCAATATCTTGGGCGAATCAGCAAATAAAAAATAAAAATATATACATAATTCATAAACTGTGTATGCGCACGAAGTCTAACTCATAGAATTATACTTAAATAACGTAATGTACTGTTTACTAGACGAGCAGGAGTGTTTTATTAGGTTTAATTGCAGCTTGTCCATTTAGGTTTAATTGCAGCTTGTCCATGCTGGAAAATTAATGTTAGTAACAAAAAAAAATTAAACGTTCTGTGCGTCGTTATTCACGAGCAGCACTTAATACTTTTGGTCGTTGGGCTAGCACGCATGAATGGTTTAAAACAGTTGGACCCGACCCCACGGCACTGATAACTTAGCCGAATGTTTTACTTCGCAGGTAAAGAACGCCTTCGATCTGTACTTTCCATTGAAACAAGTAAAGTTTCACGGAACTGATAAACCATATATGGGTACAGTAACACCATACATCAAAGAACTCGAATTGTAATCAAGACCCAACGTTTCAACACTCCAGTCTAGTGTCTTCATCAGGGGTGATCTAAAGATGCAATCGTGGCTTCTTAAATACCCAAGGGATGACGTCACCTGCCAATGAGATGCATATATTCCTCTGGCAAATAGCCACCGTCATCCCTATTCAAAGCATGATTACTCATATTTATCAGCCACGCTTCTAGGTAAAGTCTTTGACCATAGAGATTGTTTGTGGTAATTACTTTAGAGTTTTCCCACGCAATCTCGTGTTTTGTGTAACATACATGTTCGGCTAAAGCTGATTTTCGCTTGGCTAAAGTTGAAACAGCCTTTTGAGGTTCTTTTAGCCGTGTACCAAACTGGCGTTTAGACTGACCTAAATACTTTTTCTCGCAGTCACCGCATGGTATAGAATATACAGCATGAGTTTTCTGATTTGTTTTAACAGGATCTTTTGGCTTTGCGAAAATATGGCCTAGAAACAACCAAGGCCAACTTGTTTGCTAATGACACAAATCTTTCGTGTGCCGGCTTAGATGCCAATGAAATCGAGACTAAACTTAAAAGAGATCTTGAGAATGTTTATAGTTGGCTTAGATGTAACAAACTCACGCTAAACGATAGCAAAACGGAATTTATGATAATTGGCTCTAGGCATCATCTTACTAAATTTGATGACAACCCAGAGATTTCATTAGCCATACGAGATAATAATATTAAACGGGTCACCAACAAAAAATCTCTTGGTTTTATCATCGACGATCAATTAAAGTGGGGTATACACATTGACGCACAATGTAAAAAAGTCTCAAGAAATATTGCATTACTAAGAAGAGCCAAGTCCTTTGTTCCTTTACACATTCTAATCAAAATGTATAATGCTCTAGTATCTCCTCACCTGACATATTGCTTAACAATATGGAATGATGGATCTAATACCATTCTTAACAAACTCTCTAAGTTACAAAGAAGAGCAGCTCGGGTTATCACAGGACAATCATACGATGTTCGTTCCACTCAAATACTAGAAAGTCTCAATAGGATGCCAATTGAAGACATTTTAAAGAAAAGAGAAATCATTTTGACGTTTAAAGCTTTAACTAACAGACTACATGATTATGTGCAGAATTTCTTCACGAGATGCGAAAATAGTAATTATTCTCTAAGAAGCAATAATGTTAAACTATCTTTGCCTAAACCAAGACTGACTAACTTTCTTAAAAGAAGTTTCTCTTATAGAGCAGCACAAGGGTGGAACGAATTATCGGATGAAGTAACTAATAACATTCAGGATTTATCTTTACCCGATTTCAAACGGCGATTAACCCTTAAGCTTGCACATGAATAATGTATAATGCATTTCCGAAATTAATGGAGTGTGTAATAATTATGTGCTGTAATTAACTGTAAATATCCATAGTTAATGTGTGTTTAATACTATATAGCACGGCCAAACGGACTGTATATATTATACTGAATAGGCTACCGTGTTAAAAGAAATTTTATTAAAGATTAAAGATTAAAGCTGAAATCCAGACCGCGTCATTTAGCCGGCTGCGCGTCATAGATCGCACCCCCTGCTTATTGGCAGTAGTTAATTTGGTTACTCCCCCATTCTTTCTAACTTCTGAGATTGTGTTTCTCTGGCGGTGGTTCTAAAACATCCATGAAACAAATAAGTTAGTTAGTTACATTAATTAATATAGAGAGTAATATTACAGTATCTCAGATCTCTAGTAATTATTTTATCCATATCTGTAGATCACTGCATCGATGCCGTACCACACGTGTTATCTTTTGAAGATCCCTCTGAGTTGGATTACTTCACGTTTCCCAATACTTCTATTTTGATGACCTCAGCAAAACATTACAAAGATGGATTTCATTCGATGATGTGGCAGTGGGAACCTGGGGACAAACTGAAATTAAATTGGAGGCAACATTTGGACGGTTCCCATGCTGGTATTAAATTTTGGATTTACCGAAACGAGAGCTCTGCCGCTAATCTTAGCGTGTCGCTTATCGAATCTAAGCTACACCGCAGGAAGAATGTTGTCATACAGTTTAATTTTTCATTAAATTTCACTGGCTGGCGCGCGGCCTGGGTAGCACTACGCGAAGCAAAATCACTTCCAAAAAGACCTCGGTATGATCAAATCGTATTCACAGCTCCAGATCAAGAAATTCCATCTCGAGTACTTTTCATTGATCTACTTTGCTTCGCCCACCACGTAATATATCAATCACGTGATGAAATAATTCCACCTATCAGCGGCGACATTTACGATATAACATTTACATGGCAACAAACGCACAGATGGAGCTTGATAAACCCACCGGAAGTGAATGGAACTAAACCATTATCAGAGAAGGAAATGCAACAATTGAATGATATATATTTGATAGAAAAACGACTCGTAAATTGGTTTGCAAACGAGGGTGTCCGAATAGCGGAGTTTCGAGGAAATGTCTTAAAACGATGGGAATCGTTGGTTATTCATGGTTTTCAACGTGCAAGACGTTATCTCAAAGAGCTTAACATTACTGTAAGTCAAGATGATGTCATTACAGGATCTCCGCTGTTTCTCAAACGATCTCAGTTTGGACATGGTTTCAAAAACGCAAAAGGCGAAAATAAGAAATTAGGAGACGTCTCATTCCAAGTACTATTTCCACTGACATTAGAGTATTACTTTTCTATAAAAGAAAGCACTATTCGTGACACTGTCTGGAGAGAACTAGCAAATATCAACAGCCTTGTTAGAAGAGAATTTGCTGTGAAACGAATTACAAAGCAGGACTCGGAATACTCAGAATTCCTACTTTCGGAGTTACGAAAATTTAAATCGCCCTTAACGCATTTTCATTTTCGACGGAGCTTACATAACCTTAATCAAGGAAAACTGGCCACTATAATGTTGTTATTGGAGTATATTACGGATCAGGGATGGACACAGGGGAGTGCAATGGGATCATTGGATCACGGAATGAACAAAGTAGAGAGCGGATTTATGAATTCGATGTTTCTTCTAAGAGAACAACTCTCTAAGACTGGAAAACTGGGAAAATTTTTAAAGACTATGAAATGGTATAGCTTTCTAGGTGAAATATATCAAAACAATTTTGAATACAGTGGTACGACGGCTGACAAACTACGCACAATTATTCTCTATCGTTTGGAAATTATTTTAATGAGCCCAGGAAGCACCGTTTATGAACAAAGAGTGAAGTTACGTGACATGGCTGCCTATGTTCGCTGGTGCAATAACGCTTTGTTAACCCATCCAGCATTCCTGGCCATGTTTAAACCCGATCTATCCTGCTTTCACCACCTAGGTGTCTACGGTTCTTCTTATAACCCAGAAGCACTAACCATCTCGTCGATGATATGGTATCTTCTTGAAGGTACCTCATTTGCCCTCAGTACAAACTCGAAAGTGAACATCCGTGAAAGGCTACTATCATATGGAAGAATGGCGCCGCAATATTCTCTACCAAATTCGATCTGTGGTCGTTTCCCCAATTATTTCAAAGCGATTTTAATCAAAATGCTTCCAGCTTATGCGTTTTTTTCGGTTCGTGCACAAAATTTAACCGAACCCGGAGAGCTGCAGGAAGTTTTACCAGGCAACGACACGGAAATGATAAGAGTATTTTTACGGCTATACGAGCAAACAAATACCAAAGTGTTATTTCATCTACAACAAGCATTGTTTAAAAAAGATAATTACATATCTTCTATAGGTATATATAGCTATTTATTATACACTCACGCGCACTTAGTCAATCAGTAATCGTTGAGAGGGTCACGTGCCGATCCAATATTTTACGATATCGGACAGGAACCTGTTGCATGGACAGTTAAGAATTGTGGCTTTTTTCATGGTTTGTTAACCCTTTTCAGATGTTTTGTCAATTTCAAACATACGACAAGCGATAATGGCAGAACAAAGAAAACAATTTGGAACATTAATACAATTTTTGTACCAGTTTTGTTTAAAATTATAAAAGCGCGAGAAAACTTGCGAAATTCATTTGTTTGCAACAGCCTGGATGTTAGTAATAGTCTACAATTTTTTCGTTAAAATTAGGTCAAATTTCATTTAAACCTACATGGAATTAAGTTTATTTATACATACATATTTGTAAAAATAAGTTCATTAACTTTTCGTTTAGTTATTTAAGTAAATTCGCCGCCGATATACAGTAATGTAGTAATGTTAATCAATGTATTTTCCCGCTGTATTGCTTTATCGCTTATTGACAATTTTTTGTTATATAATTGTTTTGTTCGATACAATATAACTCTTATTGGATTCATCTTCGCCCAATATGGCAAAATATTAAGACTCGACTTCAATATATTAAGCTCGACCTTCGATCTCGCCCAATATTGAAGTCTCGACTTAATATTTTGCCATATTGGGCTCAGAAGATATATAATATCCAATAAGATATATAATATTCACTTCCCAAGCAGTGAGCTCCATATGTATCTGGACAAGAACTGAACATACGAAGTGCGTGTTTTATCAGACCTAAATATACTCGGCTTTGCCTCGTATCTTTATATCTAATAAAACACTGCTGCTTATGTTTTAAATAGCACATAAAAATCCAAATACTAAAATGTGTTACTCGGGTTTTAGCTAGATACATTTTACTAAAGACACAATTAGTAAAATATAGTCGATAGATAGCCGTTGGCCTCGTTTGAACACAAACACAACGCGTTTATAACAATGCTACGCTGAAGGACGACTTCATACATTTTTATTTTTATTATCATTACTATTTCCACCATCATCATCTGTCGACATCGTGACATTCATCATCCTCATAACCATCATCATCGTTATCATTACCATCGTCATCACCATGCATAAGACTATCGTCACCATGAATATAACACCATGCACGATCATCATCGTCACCATTAACATCATTATCATTATCATTTTCGTCACCATTAACATCATTATCATCATCGTCACCATTAACATCATTATCATCATCGTCACCTTTATTATTGATGATTAACTAGTAGATCTATTTTTCTATATTCGCCCATTTATTTACCTATTTATTTATAGGTTCGTTACAAATACTTCAGGAACTCTACAGAAAAGTAAAGAAAGCGGAAATACAGCCAGCCGAGCCTCAAACGGGTCATTGGGTACACAACTTTGCTGCTTTATCAATACATCGCCGTAAACATTGGGTAGTCACAGTAAAAGGGTTCAGTCGATACATTTGGGATTTTGAGAGTTCGAGCCATGAGAATGTATATGGCATATATCAATCCCATGGTGCATTGCAGATATCGAACAGCGAAGAAAGTTTGAAGGCATACGATGTTCAACACGGTTGGGACTGGACACGAGTACCAGGAACAACAACAATAAAGTTAAGTTTGCATGAATTGATGACACCGAAGGTTGATAGGTATTATCAACCTTCAAAGTTGGTTGGTGGTGTGGTATTGACCAGTGCTGATCCACGTTGGGCAAATGGAGTTTTTGCAATGAAATTTCATCAACCTTTATATGGTTCTCCAGACGGTATAACAGCTGGGTATGGCAGAAAAAGGACTATTAATGGCAAACCGGTAAGTACTGTGCAGTGCACTTCCGGAATGCAACCAACCTTTAACCTCGTTTTCCATGAGGTAAACGAGACAACTCACAACGGCAACGGCAGAAAACAAAATTACTTGCATTTTTTTGTATGCCAGCCAAAGCATACATTACTCAACTTTATTTCCCTCTAAAAGTACTCGTCGTTCTTCACAAACAACCCTTAAGTAGCAACAGCCAGTGAATTCACATAAAACACCCCACAGATTTTTAACTGTTCATGAGCGTGGTCATGAGCCATGAATATGATGTAGATAACGCAGCAGTTTGAACAACTATGGCGTACTAGACTCGTCAAAGAAATTTATAGTAAAATTATAGTGTTAATGATCACGTGTTCATCGACGTTGCGGTTGTATTTGCCAAACTCACTAATAAAATTTGTTCGCGCGGATCGGAAAATAAAATTGGTCGAAATTGGCAGAAAAATTATCGGGAAAAAATAGAATTTGTTTCTATACTCTTTCGCCGCGATTTTTTTCCGCTAGCTTGAACGTCATGTACGACAAATTTTGCCTGGTGGAAAGAAAACTGTACGTAGTACCCACGCGCGTAAGAGAAGCGCATTCCAAGGATTATTTTAGTAGTACTATAGCGGTTACAATATTATGGGTAAATGGTCGATATTTTTTGTTGTATTTTGCAGTGTCAGAATGAATACAAAACTCTGGTTTAAAGGGACACGCCAATATATTTTTTATTATTTCATTTGGAAGAACTTTTAAAATTATATGTAAATCTCTTTTATCGATTTTGCGTAACTTTATTATTTCTTGAGATATTTGAACAGAAAAAATCACAAATCAGCGAGCTTTCCGCCATCTTGGATTTTGGCGGATATGCATGTGACATCATAAGCAGGGTCACGCAAGAATTTTATCCACAGAGCAATTGTCAATGGTTATTATGAGCCCAAAATCATATACTTCAGTAACTATTTGAAATAAAAAACTATCTGTCGACTTTTCAAACAAGACCTAATGTTATTTGGTCAGTTAGATGTAGTTTTAGATGGCTAACCCTGCTTTTGACGTCACTAAAATCACCGACAATGAGATAAAAATTAATCCAAGATGGCGGACAGCAAATTATTTTAAGTCAAAATATTTCAAGAAATAATAAAGTTACGCAAAAACGGTAAAGGAGATTTACATATAATTTTAAAAGTTCTTTAAAATGAAATAATAAAAAAAATATATTGTCGTATCCCTTTAAATAAATGATTACAAAGCCCAGTCGAATTGTACTCAAGACTCAACGTTTCGACACTCCAGTCTAGTGTCTTCATCAGAGGTGATCTAAAGATGCAATCGTGGCTTCTTTAATACCCAAGGGATGACGTCACCTGCCAATGAGATGCATATATACTGTTCATATCTCTGAGGATGGTTCTAAAGTAGAATTAAAATACTGTGCGTCCTCCACGACAAGCGCTAAGTCGCCACGAAAATATATCGTGCACTAAAATTGGATAAGTTAGTCTCGCTACCAATCCCCATTTACTCGGTAGCTCAATGGATAGAGCGGAGGTCTGGAAACCCAAAGATGCGAGATCGAATCCCGCTCGAGACAACTACTCTGCAGTGTCAGAACAGGGTTGCCGGAGCCACGGGAGAAACAGGGGCAGCTGCCCTCGTCGCCCAGAACACGTTGCATGCCCAAACATTAAAGAGTTTGGCAAATACAACGGCAACGAGAACGTGCTCATCAACAATAGTATCTTTACTTTAAAACAAGGGCGACTATAATTTGCATTCCCTTAAGCATTTTAGTATGACGTCATGACCACGCCAACTGAGTATAAAAATTTTCAAGTTGTTTGGGATATTTTATGTCAATTCACTTACTATAATTGCTACTTTAGGAGATTTCAGCTAGGTTGTTTAAAAAGTAAATAAGTGCATGCTTTTAAAAATGTTTAGTGATATATGTTTTGGCTCGAATACTTTAGCGTCATGCAATGAACAAGAATGCTCCAATCAATGCCGAAACTTGTCTAACTATACAGTATATTATAGTTACAAGTAACCAAGTTCCCGGCAGCGAACATTGCATGCCACCCACAAAATTAAGGCTCAGAAGCAGGGGCCCTCTTTAAATGCTTCCGGCGTCAGAATAAATATGAAACTGGTTTTTCCTCTGATGATATTTCTGAAATGGAATTGGCAAAGTTCTTGTATTTTGAATGTATGGTGCAGTGGTGAATAAGATTCGTGTACCAGGTGTCCTAAAAAAGGTACGCCGTTTGATTTAATATAACGCAAAAATTAAAACTACAATTACACTCAAATATGCATTATTGATCATCCTCACACATGTAGACAATTTGAATAAACTCCCCTATTTCTTGTATTTTACCCGAGTGTTGTGCCCGTTTAGTTCAGTTTTGTTCATTTGTTGTTCTTTAATTTAGAGGCCATACTTACACTTTTTAAAAAATGGAAGATTTTCTGAACTGGACATGAATTTTTGGACAATAATTATTTATTGCAAAACAAAGACTATCTGACTTGAATAAAACAGCAACTGAGGAATTAGGAATTTTTAAAACTGTATTCCCAACAGCCGTTGCTATGGCAACAATGATGTTCCAATACGGCGGATATTTTTGGTTTAAGGTAATTTAACTTGAAAATAAGGTCGGTGACCCCCATTTTTTATAGCATGATTTCTTTTAGCATTTTGAATCATTTTCGTTATTTAAAAAATCCTGTCATGCCAAAATTTCATGCCTTAATAATTCAAGAACGATAGGTGAAAGGGCAGCCCGAAAATAAGTAAAACACACACCAAATCATTGTGGGAGAATGGGTTCAGGGTGAAATGAACCAATTATATACATTATACTCTCAAACTCTGGTCAACCCGAAGACTCATTAAGCCTTATGTTTTCATCCCGCAGGGGTATATATAAGACCTGCTAGGAGAGACTGAATGCTCCATAGGAGCTCTGCCCGAAGGGTAGCGACCCCTCTGACATAGACCTGAACCAAGGGGTGATAATCCCCTTGGACAGTACCTACGATTCGACTGATTATATTTACATAAATAACCCGAGTCTATGAGCCTGAAGTTGACCATTGGGAACACTTCAACCCCGAATTTGTTTCAACATAAACAAATTTAAATATTTACATAGCGATAATTTTCCATGAGAAAATTGTTCGATAGTCTTTCTTGACAAATTGTTTTTGAACAGTCCTTGCATAACATTAGTTAGTACCCATACAATGCACCAGATACCGGAAACATGAACAGGTGGGTGGGTGGTACTTTCTCGGTAACAAGACATTGCTCTTTGTTGGGATATTTGTCAAAGTGAACTCCCTTATCTCATTGACCTTTGTTCTGCGTGTTCGGTGTTGACATATGATTGGTCAGTTGATCTTTCATTCGGTTTACACATGCCCAGAGAAACATTTGAACTTTGGACTATTGGATATCGCCTTTTTGTGGCTGTTGACAAGCTTATCCTGTTACTATGAGATTATAACCAGGTTTGAAGGTGACAAACGTGTTGTCTCATTCTCTTTCCCGTCCACCCCATTACGACACAATTTTTCAAAAATAAATATCTCGGCTAGTATTTACCCCCCTTTTAAATAAAAGCCACCATTGTAATCCTCATAAAATAACCTTTCGAACGGGGGGTCAAGTGCCGTCAGAACATTACACAAACCGAAACAATCATATATTCACTCACCGCTTGGCCAAGGATTCTAAATTTCATATCCACTAGATCTTGAATACCCCTTGAACTTTTCGACATTTGCTGAACGGCTATATGTATAAAAATGTCTTTGTATTCAAGCGCTTTCGTGTAGAAAGTTTCGTATGTATACGCTGACTAGAAATATTTATTTTGAATTTTTCAAGATGTCGGGTTTTACTCGCACTTGCGTACATTGCGCAATAATTGGCCAATAAGAAGCTCCTTTGGCCGGGAGACGTCAAACCATAGTTAATATAATGGTCAAACTCACGCGTGTAGGTGCAATTTGACCTTGCGAATTTATTTCTGGCCTTTCCAGGGTCATACGATATAAACGTCGCATTGTTTTGACGGTTTTCAGTCGTATTTCCGGTTGGGATTATTCACCTCGAGCTCACAGTCGGACAAGAAATGGAAATATATTGATAAAAGATACAGATTTGTAGATTCAGGGTTGCAAATAACACTCCAAAAACACTATTTAATGGGGATTCGAACAAGACTATTACAAAGACGATATGTTCGAAGGGGCCGAAGTTATTTTCGGCGAAAGGTATGAATAGTCTATATTTTTGTTTAGACAATTGCGTAATTTGATACAATATTATCGTGTTTGACTTTAAAGGCCCATAAATCGCTACAATGTTGATAATGACTATAACTATAGGGAGGAATTGTCTTCATAGCATGCACTGAACCGAAGATATAAACATTTCTCGCCGTCAACCGCTAGCGGATGACGAGATTGGCTTGTGATGCAAAAGAGTTTTAACTTGAATTTAGGGACTGGTCATAAAGTAACTGCTAGGGTGGGCTGGAGGTAAATCACAAATTTTACCAATAAGTTTGGTGACCCATCTTAGGATGTAGATAAAAATTTCAAAGCCCATCTAATCTTACCAAATTTATTGACCCACCCACCCAATCTAAATTGGTGACCCACTCACCCAATCTAAATTGGAAAATACAATTTTATAATAAAAAAACTTGCAGGTATGAACTTTGTAAATATGCACCGGCAATAATTCCACCAAGCCTGACCAACACATTCATCACCAATTACGATACTGAGCTGCTCTCCAGTTGGTTGTATTTGCTGTGATTCAACCACTTCTTGTTGTTTGTTAATTTGATAATTTGGATAGTTTTGTTTACTTTTATTATTAATATCTTTATGTAATATATAATTAATCTGGGTTTTTGTTTGATGGCCCAACCATGCACATACCAAAAAATTGGCGGCCCATCGAAACTGCCGGAAGATTTTCCATGGCCCATCCCAAATCACTCCAGCCCACCCTAGCAGTTACTTTATGACCGGTCCCTAAATATATATTGTTATATATAAATTTGCTTAATCAGACTTTGTTTGTCTTTTAACATATACGAATTCTGGAAAAATTGGGTCTAGATTTTCCATTTTCTAGTAAACTGTAGGGTGCTAGCTTCCCCAAAAGGATATCTGACAGGAACTAAGCCATCTTACCGGCATACATATTGATTCGTGTTGTTCAGCTGAGCGACAGCGTTCTGAATGTAGTTTAGGTTAAGGTGGGCTCTTCTAAACGGAGCTCATGCATTCTGGTTAGCTCACAGTAATTCCTTGGGCCTCGCGGCAGGTTTTATATTGTAGTCTTCCTCATGTCATCCAAAACATCCAATAATTGGCAATCCTGAATAAGTAATGAAGATTTCTCATTTTTGTAGGAAAACGATGAGCAGTTAACTCAAAATGAAAACTTCCGTAACTTTACGCGAGTGAGAAATGACGACGCTGTGTTCGAAAAAATAAAATTCAATTTTACAAAATCGATATTTTTCTACAATTCCCTAATAGTTTGTCTCGGCAGTAACATTAATACGACGAATAGCGAACCGTACCGAACTCAAACTACTTTATTCCAAGATAAATACACCACAAGTATCACAGTTATCTATATTAATGGTAAAATGAAATTGCTCAGGGACGACTTCTCTCAAATACTGTACGATTCCGCCGCCATATTGGATACGAACGGTAATGGATATTACATTCCGAAAGGCTCATCGGCAAACATCGCCATCAGTCGGCAAAAATCGAAGGCACCCAATGGTAAAACACCCACCGAAGCTAGATATGCAACAGTCTGGCTAGATCACGGTATAAACCCTGTTTCAGCAAGTTATGAATATGCGATACTCGTCGCAACCAATGTTGCTGGCATAGAAGCCCTTCGAAAAGCTCAGACCTCTGACTCGCCAGTTTATGAAGTACTTCATAAAAATTCGGCTGCTCATGTGGTACGATTTACAGACAAAACAGCAAGCCCAAGTAAAACGTATGGTTATACTTTCTTCAAGAAAAACGTGCGTTTGACCGAAGGCCCTATCAGACATGTCAGCGTCGAGTGCATAGTTATGGCCCAAATCGATAGGGCGAATTTTTCAAACATAAATATAAGTATCAGCTCTCCTGATCTAAACTACAACACCTCAAAAGTTCTCATACATAGTAAAGATAATGGTATTAACGAGTATTTCTACATGAGAAGTCGGCCCGTGAATATATCCGCCTATCTAAACAGACCAGTAGTTCTAGATAGAGTGCTCGTCAATGGAAAACCCGTGGAAAAATCACTCTATGGTCATTATATAGCTGTGAAACCTGATGACCCGCAACAGCCGGCACTAAGAGGGAGGGAAATCGTCTTCAAAAGTCTTATAAATGGAGAAAGTGTAGAGGCGTATCTTCGAGTCGTGAAAAATTATGTTGTACATTAACTTGATGGAGTTTTAAGTTGTTGTTTACAGTTGTCTGTTACATCGACTGTAAATTTGTCTTATGTTTAGCTTGTTTCGATTGTTAAAAATATTGTAATTTTACCTAGCTATAATTAATTGGGGAAACTGGTGGCAAATAGGCATGTCCAGATTGTGTTCCTAAAATCTCAAAAAGTTGCCGGGAAAAAATGCCAAAAAGTTGCCAAAAATTCGAGAAGTTCCTACCTCAAAACTTCAAGTTTCTACTACTATTTACCCTTAATCATACAGAGGGAAAAATTACTCAAATACGCTTGGCTAATGAGGAGGGCATTTTTTCTTAATTCAGGGTAAAATTACTTGTACCTGATTGGCTGAGACGCAAGCACGGGACGTTTCTTGTTTTAATTAAATAGCAATAAATAAAAACAATGGCTTCTCGCTTTGCCGTCGCGGATAATGATGTTATTGAAGAATAAAAACTTCTAGTGAAAACTTAAACACTAGAAAATGTACAAATTTATTGGTACTTGGAGTATTTAAGGTTTCCCGTCCAATAGAACATTTTGGACTCGAGTTCTCGCTCGCTGGGCGCTACGTTGTATTCAAATAGTTGCCGAATCTCATTATAACATTAAAAAAACATTAATTAAAGTGACGTGTAGAAACCTGAATAATGGACGCATTTGTATATTATATACATGAAGTAGACAATTGTTAAATATGCACTAAACTGAGAGAATATATAAGGCAAGATTTGTTTAATTAAAACTTTTTATGAAAATGGGTAGTTTCTTCAAAAAGTTCAAAGTTCCGAGTCCAGCCAGATGTTTAGTCGCAAATTGTAGTTATTAGATACTTTTTATCACCAATCTCGTTGCCCGAGTCTGCGAGCCACGGGAAGGAACGCGAGGCTCTGGAATAATCCGTTTCAGGGAGGAATCTGATTGGCCGTTGAACGATTGAATGCGTAGTTCAATCTTAGTCAGGATTCCTGGCTTCCGGCAACGGATTATCCCAGAGCCTCACGTTCCTTCCCGAGGACCGCAGGCTCTGGGAACGAGATTGTTTTTATCACATGAACTTGCCATCCAGGGGAGGCGCTAGAGGTGGGTTTACAGAAACATTAAAAAAGAAACTAAAGAGTAACGGTACGTCAGTCCAAAAGATCAGTAATGAAAAATATAATATTCGGAAAATTAGTTTTGTTTAGGCGGAGGCAACGCTCCCCACCCCCCACTTGCCAAGAACTTTGTGAATAGAAATATTAATTAGGAAAAAATAATTTGTAAATATTGATTAAATACTAGGAGTTACTATCGCAAGGAAAATGCTGCCGATATGTACATGTAGGATGTGCTACAAAAAGAGCGTTTTTCACTGTATGTATGATTTATTGTCTTACACATCGTCGTTCCTCAGTTACCTTCGTACAATTATATCTTACATCTAATCTTATGAAAAGTATATTTTAATATACTTAACAGTACGACTTTGATAGTTGACACATAATACAAATGATAAAATGTGAATATTATTGAATGATTTTGTCACTCGTACAACTTTTAATTTGGCTATTCAAACAATTGATTTAAAATAGTTGAATTTATACTTACTGGGATGTTATTGCTTATTGGGATGTTGAAATTATGTTTGTTTTAAATACATTTAGTTGATATTCCATAAATTCATTTTGTATGATTTCATTGACCTTGACGTTGTTCAAAATCATTTTGTATTGTATTGAAACTGTATGTCTATGACCTATGTTATGTACTATATTAACCCCTTGAGTCGCATTGCACCCTGATGCACCCTACTTTGAACAGTATTTTACTCTGTCTAACGCCAGACGATTTTACTCGTCAAGGGGAGAGTGCTGGCGCTTAATGGGTTAACTGATCTATCTGCCCATGTGTCTAGTTAACCCATTGGGTCGCATTGCACCCTGATGCACCCTACTTTGAACAGTATTTTACTCTGTCTAACGCCAGACGATTTTACTTGTCAAGGGGAGAGTGGTGGCGCTTAATGGGTTAACTGATCTATCTGCCCATGTGTCTAGTTAACCCATTGGGCCGCATTAAATACGCCAGAGTATTTTACTCTGTCTAACGCCAGACGATTTTACTCGTCAAGGGGAGAGCGCTGGCGCTTAATGGGTTAACACGCCCAAAATCTGTACTAAAACTGCTAATTCTGTTTTGTGATTGGCACAGTTTAATAAAAGAATCCTCCCGTTGAACCAGAGCCTTCACAATATTTCAATTTATTATTAACTGAAGCTCTGGAATCCGGGATAGCTTGCCATTGAATACAGTGCAATGCTTATATTTCTGAATGAATAAGATCATACTCAGAACAGTCAGAACTGCAAAACTATATTGTTAGAAAGAAGTTGAAGTTGTGAGCATTATTGTGGTAACACAGCCATATGTATATATCAATGTATGTCAGTAGAATCATGTTTATAGGCTTTATATATAACTGAGGCCTTATACAAGTCATATCTTATACAAAAGTCAGTTGATATGCTATATTACATGTAATTGCTGATAAGTCCATATATGCAGACAACAATCCACACTGGGTAGCTCTAGGAATCTTGTTAAGCCTGATTTAACAACATCCCGCGTTTGTTTTTAAACTATAAACATTTAGAAATAGAACGTACCGAACACTATTATATACTCACCGCCTTTGGCTTTGCACATATTAAGTGACATAACAAACAAATAAACTAAAAGTTCATTTGCTTCTTGTATCAGCATAAAGGCATTAATCATTACTGTCGATTTGGTCGGGAATAGATCAGTGATTCAGTGGGTATTATAATTGCCGATATATTCTTGAAATCATTTTGTTTCAATGCCTCTATATCGAAGTTTAATACACTAAAGTGACTAAACAAGTATAAACAGCAGATTTAAATATAAATGCCTTCATGTATTATAAAATATATCACCAGACAGGTAGACAGGGCACACGGCACGACTACATCTCTATACGAGAACGAAATAAAGCCATCCTTACCTGAATTATTCAAAATATTGTCGATCATTCTTGCGCCAGAGACACAAAATAACACCGTGCTTTATTTACCCATTCATCTTCACAAATATTACTCGGAATTTTTATGGAAATTCGCATTATTTTATGATTTTTATATTTCTGTCCGTTTATAACAGTCGCCATGTTGTGAACAACCCCCCCCGGGAACAAAAAAATAATATCAAAACAGCTAGTTTTGGCCCGTCCGTGGATGACAGAATGACATAAATCGAGATTGTAGCGGCTATAAACTCGGCGGTCACGTGGTAAGCACACCACGTGTAGAGATTAGTGTGCTGCCGAGCTACGCTCGGCAGCAATTATGTTTATTTCAATTCAGCCCATTTTTTTGTTTAATTAGCCGGCGAATTTGTCCTGCGACGGTGCGAGATCAAAAAATCGCTAAAACTTTGAAACTAAATATATTTTCAAAATTCCAAACAGCATTTGTTTGTTGTTATAGTAAATGTAGTTCACGGTAAAAGTTTCGAAGGAACTTATTTTTCGAGCCCCAAGTCAGTGGGCGGTTTTTAGAGACACACGCTCTTAAAGCCTCGTCTTTCTTGTATCTTTGGCGCCCGAAACAGTCCCTTTCCCATTTCTTTCATATGAAGATCTGGAGCTTTTTCCAACCATTTGTTTATGTTAAAAAGCAAAGATTAAAGAGCGAAGAAGTTGACTTCTTTTCACGTTCGAAAATAGTACTACAGTTGAAAATTTCAGATCACCATTTTGGCATGGCAATGAGCGCCAGCAATCACCAAATTATAACAGCACCAATACTTTATGTATTACAAGACAAAGGGTACTATGTAAACCACTTGCTTTCGAAGCGCTTGCAAGCGAACAATCAAATTAAAATTTTAGGTTAACTCCCCCTTAGCGTTTAATGTATACAAGTATTCCTGGCAAATTTCGAGTCGATTCAGTAATTCCTTCGCGAGTTTAAGGGGCTTGAATAATTTATATTGCCGACGTCAGCATTGTTTTGAAAGGCCGTTATAAGCTGCGCGGTTTTCCAAATCTAAGTCGAAATATTTCGGTGGGCTTTGAAAAGTTTTATATAATTAATATCAAACATAATTGTGGACCTGTGTGATAAAATATAACTTTTCTTGAGCATTTACTACACGGCCGCCATGCTGGTCAGGGGCGCTGGAAGCAGTGGCGTGCTGGGTACTGTTTTTCTGGGGGGGCCAGTGGGCTGTCAACAAATATGCGCCCCTATAATTTTTCGCTTGATAAACGAGGGCCGAAGGCACGAGCCGAGTGCCGCCGGTGCGAGGTTTGTCTAGGGGGGTCCGGGGGCATGCCCCCCAGGAAAATTTTTGAATTTAGAGTCTCTGAAATGCCATTTCCTGGACTTTGGGGGGAGATTTGACAGAAATCTGATGGTCAGGAAACAGCATTATAACGTGTCGAAATTTGTAATTTGGTTTGAATTTAGTAGTAGTAGTAGTACTTATATTATGCAATGCTAACAACTTCCAGCGATTAATCTAATCCCAATTCTATTCTCTACTGATCGAGTGATCTGAATACAATTACACCATACAGCTCTTTTATACAATAACACACGGACCCCACGCATATGCATTTTAAGGTTTCCCTGCCTGGCTGCCAAAAGCGCGCGTTTCAGCATTATTTCATTACTCATGATGTTTCTTGTGCAAACAACTAAATTGCGTACACAACTTTACATTATCATAACTTAAACTATCTAATTCGCGCCGCTCTTGTGATTCGTGAAGCATAATAAAGGGCATAATACCAGCAAAAAAGGGCATAATTCCCGTGATCGCTTCAAAACCTGACCAATATTCCGGTGATGAGACATTGCGTGTGATCACAGTTCATATTTCTATATGAACGATTTCGTGTGAGCCGTGAGGTACAAATTAGCAAATACGGTTAGACAAAATAGTCTGTATAATTTAATATATCACTTTGTTGTCTATTCGCTTAGTCTGTTTTATAAGCCTATAAACACATCTTTTCTCGGCGGAAGTAACTATATTTTTTCGAATGCGTTTTCCCCACCCACTTTCAAAACTCGGCGCGGGATCGGCGCCCCTTTTTCATTTTTGCGCCCTGCAAGAATTGCCAGCTGGGGGGGCCATGGCCCCCCGGCCCCCCCTGCCAGCACGCCACTGGCTGGAAGCAATATGAAGCGGCGGGGGCAGTCATTTCAAAAGGGCACTTGCTGCTCAGCCATCATTTTCCTGGGCAGCAATATTTGTTAAAATTTTACTGTATGGATGCTCGATTACTTCTGGCTATTATGGATCGCAAACTTCGAAATGTTGATCGATTTTTATCTATTCGTTACACGGTGCTAAAGGCGCAAAACAAAATCAGTAAACAGACGTATATTGCTTGATTTAGCATTAATTGTACTAAAACTTGTTAAAATTTAAGCAAAGATTGCTTAAAGATGGTGTACAGTCTGATCTGCGCATATGAACAAAGGGCCCTCTTTTTATCATACAAACAGTTTATTTAGGTTTTTATTTCATTTTATGTTCTTGCAAAGCTTAATTGTTGTGTCTTGATAATTTATTATACTCTAGAAATATGAAAATATAAATAGTTGTCGAACAAAATTCTATATTTTGGATACCGAAATGTAAACAAATCCTATGTTTACATACGGACTGTACCGCATCTTTAAACATTGCTTTAAAATAGTTCTAAATTCCAATTCCTGTCAATAATGCACAAATTTCGAGGTGCAGTTCAGGCAAAAAGGGCAACCTGTTGCCCCCGTGCTGCCCCCGCAATGTTTGGGCAACGGGAGCAGTTACCCCAGCTGCCCCCGTGGCTCCGGCGCCCCTAATGTTGGTGGTCCAATATTACGCAATCTCAGACCACCAACATGGCGGCCGTGTAGTAAATGCCCAAAGGAAGATATATTTTGCCACACAGGTCCACAATTATGTTTGATGTTAAGTATATAAAGCTTTTGAAAGCCCACCGAAATATTTCGACTTAGGTTTAGAAAACCGCATAGCTTTTAATTAACGGCCTTTCAAAATAATGCTGACGTCAGCAATATAAATTATTCAAATCCCTTGCGAATGAATGTGGTTGTCAGATGGTGTATGATGGTGTATGATGGTCGAGGTGTGTCAGATGGTTGTCAGATGGTGTATGGTGGTTTAGGGTGATTATACATGAAAGGGTTGTCAGATGGTGAAGATGGTACAGATGGTGTATGATGGTCGAAGGCTGTCAGATGGTGTATGATGGTGTATGATGTTCGAGGTGTGTCAGATGGTGTAGGGTGGTTATACTGGGAAGGGTTGTCAAATCTTGAAAATGGTAAAGATGGTGTATGATGGTCCAAGGGTGTCAGATGGTGTATGATGGTGTATGACGGTCGAAGTGTGTCAGACGTGGTTGTCAGATGGTGCATGATGGTGAGGGTGATTATACATGGAAGGGTTGTCAGTTGGTGAAGATGGTACAGATGGTGTATGATGGTCGAAGGGTATCAGATGGCGTATGATGGTGCATGATGGTATAGGGTGGTTATACTGGGAAGGGTGGTCAGATCTTGAAGATGGTACAGATGGTGTATGATGGTCGAAGATTGTCAGATGGTGTATGATGGTGTATGATGGTCGAGGTGTGTCAGATCGTTGTCACATGGTGTATGATGGTTTAGGGTGATTATACATGGAAGGGTTGGCAGATAGTGAAGATGGTACAGATGGTGTATGATGGTCAAAGGATGTCAGATGGTGTATGATGGTGTATGATGGTCGAAGTGTGTCAGATGTGGTTGTCAGCTGGTATATGATGGTTTAGGTTGATTATAGATGGAATGGTTCTCAGATGGTGAAGATGGTACAGATGGTGTATGATGGTCGAATGGTGTCAGATGGTGTATGATGGTGTATGATGGTCGAAGTGTCTCAGATGTGGTTGTCAGCTGGTATATGATGGTGTAGGGTGATTGTACATGGAAGGTTTGTCAGATGGTGAAGATGGTACAGATGGTGTATGATGGTCGAAAGGTGTCAGATGGTGTAAGGTGGTGTATGATGGTCGAAGTGTCTCAGATGTGGTTGTCAGATGGTGTATGATGGTGTATGATGGTCGAAGTGTGTCAGATGTTTTTCAGATGGTGTATGATGGTCTAGGGTGATTATACATGGAAGGGCTGTCAGATGGTGAAGATGGTACAGATGGTGTATGATGGTGGAAGGGTGTCAGATGGTGTATGATGGTGTATGATGGTCGAAGTGTGTCAGATGTGGTTGTCAGATGGTGTATGATGGTGTATGATGGTCGAAGTGTGTCAGATGTTTGTCAGATGCTGTATGATGGTGTAGGATGATTATACATGGAAGGGCTGTCAGATGGTGAAGATGGTACAGATGGTGTATGATGGTCGAAGGGTGTCAGATGGTGTATGATGGTGTATGATGGTCGAAGTGTGTCAGATGTGGTTGTCAGATGGTGTATGATGGTGTAGGGTGGTTATACTGGGAAGTGTTTTCAAATCTTGAAGATGGTACAGATGGTGTATGATGGTCGAAGGGTGTCAGATGGTGTATGATGGTGTATGATGGTTGAAGTGTGTCAGATGGTTGTCAGATGTTGTATGCTGGTGTAGGGTGATTATACATGGAAGGGCTGTCAGATGGTGAAGATGGTACAGGTGGTGTATGATGGTCGAAGGGTGTCAGATGTGGTTTGACGATGGTGTATGATGGTCGAAGTGTGTCAAATGGTTGTCAGATGGTGTATGATGGTGTAGGGTGATTATACATGGAAGGGCTGTCAGATGGTAAAGATGGTACAGATGGTGTATGATGCTCGAAGGGTGTCAGATGGTGTATGATGGTCGAAGTGTGTCAGATGTGGTTGTCAGATGGTGTATGATGGTGTAGGGTGGTTATACATGGAAGGGTTGTCAGATGGTGAAGATGGTGCATATGGTGTATGATGGTCGAAGTGTTTCAGATGGTTGTCAGATGGTGTATGATGGTGTAGGGTGGTTGAAGTGTGTCAGATGGTTGTCAGATGGTGTATGATGGTGTAAGGTGATTACACATGGAAGGGCTGTCAGATGGTGAAGATGCTACAGACGGTGTATGATGGTCGAAAAGTGTCAGATGTGGTTGTCAGATGGTGTATGATGTTCGAAGTGTGTCAAATGGTTGTCAGATGGTGTATGATGGTGTAGGGTGATTATACATAGATGGGCTGTCAGATGGTGAAGATGGTACAGATGGTGTATGATGGTCGAAGGGTGTCGGATGGTGTATGATGGTCGAAGTGTGTCATCACACTCCTCCTTACCTTCGCATTTAATACTTTCTAACTTCAGAACATGCAAAACTATAACTCAAAACTTTTTTAATGGTACCTGGACCCTATTTACCAGTTCATAAGTTAATGACTGAGAATTGCCGAGTCTGGATCATGATAAAAGTTTGTTCGTTGCCTATCCCTTGCAGGGTACCTTCTTGCCTCCTCTCCGTTTTCTTGATCCTGTTCGTTTCTTACTATCTCATCCTCTTCTTCATGTGACGGTTGATCATCAAGATTGTATTGTCGCTCTATTTCAGCAAGGTTAAGACGTTTGAAATAGGATATGTTTCTGGTAATTTGATGAGAGTGTCGTTGGGCTGTTATTGTTGCACCGTGGACTTTAATCACTTTGTAAGGCGCTGGATTGCATTCTGTTGAAAATTTGTTCTTCTTTTGTTGTTTATATATAACCAAATTACCAACGTTAATCAGAGTCTTCTTTGTGTGCCTCGCCTGATCAGTATACCTTTTCATTTGACTTTTGGAGTTGTGATCATTCTCTTTTGCCTTGATATGCTTGTCGATAGGTTTTGATGGAGTGTATTGTTGTGGTAACTTGGTGCGAATTGTTCTGTTAAACAGGAGTTCGGCTGGGGCAACTTTTGTGGTGCTGTGGGGAGTCGCTCGATAATTCAAGAGGAAGGTGAATAATTCTTTTTTCCAATTTCGACCCTCTGTTCGAGCTGTTAGAATGAACTTAAGCAATGGTTTCATGAATGACTCCGCTTCTGAGTTGCCCTGTGGCCATAAAGGGGTGACTGTTACAAACTCAATGCCATGGATCTCCATGTATCGCCTGATTTCCTGTCCGTTGAATGGAGGACCATTGTCAGATACTACTTTGTATGGAATTCCATGCGTTGAGAATATTCTGTCCAGCTTCGGGATGAGTTATGCTGCTGATGTTGAATGTACGATTTCGACTTCCGGGTACCGGGAATATGCATCAATCGCAACAAGTATCAGCTCTCCGGTCGGAAGTGGTCCTAGAAAGTCTATGTGCACTGTATGCCATGGTGCTGGTGGCATCTTTGACATTTTGAGTGGTACTGGAGGGTGAGCTGGAATGGTGCTTTGGCAGGGGATGCAAGCATCGATGATCTTTTTCACCATGGAATCAATTGATGGGTACCATATTTTCTCTCGAAGCAACTGCTTAGTTTTGGTTAAGCCTTGATGGCCTTCATGGGCCAGATCGATGGCTTGTTTTCTCAGGGATGTTGGTACAACTATTCGGGTGGATTTCAGAAGCAGGTCATTATCTTTACTAGCAGTCAACTCGGTTCGGATGCTATACAGAATACTAAGTTCCTGGTTGTTTATGTTTGGATCTGTCAAGTTGCATGCCTCATGCCACTTTCCATTCTGAATATATTTCAAAGCAATCTGCAGGGTTGCATCTTCGTTCGTTTGCTGTTTAATTTCTTCCAGGCTGATGGACTTGGGAGTAGTGTGCTGTGCAATGAAGGAGATGTACTCTTCTGCTAACTCGCCTTGACGATGTGTTGCACTTGTGTTCAGGGGGTGTCGAGACATATAATCTGAGGGATTGTCCTTCCCGGGGCTATATTGGACTCGAAAACGGTATTTGTGAAGACGTAGGAACCATCGCTCGATCCGTGCAGGAGGTTTGGACTTAGGGTTATTGCAGATCAACTCTAATGGTTTGTGATCTGTATACAGGACAAATTCTGTTCCATATGTATAAATATGAAATCTTTCCATTGCCCAAACAATGGCGAGGGCTTCACGTTCGGTTTGACTGTATCTTTGTTCGACGGGACTGAGTGCTCGACTTGCATAGGCAAGCACTTTGTGGTCTTCGTTTCCTGGGGTATGCTGCTGTAATATAGCACCCAAACCAGTTGGACTGGCATCGACTATGAGTTCTGTGCATTTGGTAGTATCAAAGTATGGCATAACTGGAGCTGAAGTCAGAGCTTTTGTTGGTGTTTTCCAGGCATTTTCATGGACTGGTAGCCACTGGAACTTCGCATTTTTCTTTGTGAGTTGTCGAAGGGGCGTTGTAATGCTTGCATAGTTTGCAATAAACTTTGAACAGTAATTCGTCATACCCAGCAGGCTGCGGACTCCACTCACATTGGTTGGACGGGGAGCATTGACGATAGCTTCTATTTTCTTTGGGTCCGGGCTGACGCCATCTGCAGAGAAAATCATGCCAAAGAACTCCAATGTACCCTTGTTATAAGCACATTTCGATTTGTTGAGGGTGAGGCCGACTTGTCGCAGTCGTTCAAATACAGTTTTAAGGGCTGTGTCATGATCAAGCTGTGATTTACCGAATATGAGTATATCGTCACTGATGTTGACAACTCCGTCAATGCCAGCAATGGCTTGGCTTATAGCATACTGGAAAACTTCTGAGGCTGCTGATGTGCCATAGTTAAGTCGGACATAGCGGTGCAGTCCTTTATGGGTACGAAAGGTCGTAATGTAACGAGACTCAGGAGCTAAGAGAATTTGGTGGTAACCGTGGCGAAGATCGAGTTTTGAGAAGACTTTTGCGCCATTTAGCTTGTGGATAAGTTCGTCAGCAATAGGCATGGGATGGTGCTCACGGATTATCGCTGTATTGGACATACGCATGTCAACACATATTCTTGTTTCTTCTGGGCTCTTCGGTTTTGGTACTACAACTAGGGGCGAGACCCAGAGAGTTGGGCCAGAACAGGGCTCGATGATACCTTGGTCTGTTAACTTGTCCATTCGTGAGTTACTTTCTCCCGGATGTGAAATGGTATACGCCTTTCCGGTTGCGCAACTGGCTTGACGTTAGGGTCTATGTGTAGCTTAAGTTCGAAGTTTTTCAGGCACCCAATTCCTCTGAATAAGTCCTCGTACTCATTTGTCAGACTTTGAATGAATTCAGTGGCTTCTGCCTCAGGTGTGAATTCGTTTGGCACTTTCACAGTTGTGTTTACTTTTGTAGTTGTGTTTACTTCCGGTTTGTCTTTGTTTACATTGTGTATGTTCAATGTTATTAATCCGAGTTCTGCTGCAGTTTCTGAGCAAAGTAAGTTGCCATTGTCCCCTTTTGCGACGTGAAATTTGGCGCTTGTCATCTTTGTCTTCGATTCGATGATTTCTTCGAATACTCCCAGCATAGGAAGCGGCGATTGTGCAGCATACGCATATATTCGTGCTTTTGAACGATGTATTTTAATAGGTTTTTGTTTACATAAGTGTTGAAATGTCGGCTCGTCTATAATGTTGATAGACGCCCCGGTGTCGATGAGTGCTCGAAAATTCGTCCGACTGATCTTTAATTTGGCAGTCAAATTGTCCTTGGACGCAACTACTGAGCTTGTGTTCACCGTGTAGATGTATTCACCTTCCGAGGATGAGTTGCTTTCATCGTCAGTGTGCTGTCTATTAGCAGTGTTAATTGACGAGTTGTTGAATTGGCGTGATGAGTGGGGAAATTTATTCTGATCTCGATTTTGACTACTTTTGCAAACCTTTGCAAAATGATTCATCTTATGACAAAACGAGCATTCTTTGCCATACGCTGGGCAGCTATTGTTCTTGTGGGGATAATCTAACCCGCAATAATAACACTTGCGTTTCACTGTTTCCCGACGAGCGTACGGCGGTTGTTGGCGTTGTTGATGTTGAATCACATTCACACTATCGTCGATTTCAGTGGGGAGTTTTTCGTCGATCTTGATGGCTGCGAGGGATTTCTCGATGCCTTTAGCTTGTTTTTCATTTACTTCCAAGGTACGACCTTCAGCGAGTAAGGCACTCAGAGTAAGCGTTGAATCACGAAGCGCTTTTCTCCGAAGACGCGTAGAAACATAGCTTTGTATGATTTGTGTTTTAATTTCACGATCAGCATCGGTAAACTCGCATGTTGTAGCAAACTTTCGAAGGCGCGTGTGGTACTGATCCAATGTTTCGTCAGTCGTTTGTCGGGCTTGGCGAAATATATAAATCTCATACTCGAGGTTTTTCTTTGGCATGAAATATTCTGTCAGTTTTTCAACCGCTGTTTTGAAGTCGTCGTCACCTCCAGTATTAGCTAGCGTTTCAAATATTGTTTGTACTTGGGGCACAGCCATGTATAGAAGAAGGGCTCGTTGTTGTGTTTTATCGGTGATTTTTCCAGCTCGAAGATAAAGGTGAAATCGTTTAAGCCACTCTTCCCATCGTGTCGCTAAACTGCTGTAATCTACATGAGGATCAAACTGTGGCATCGATGGAAGGTCTACTCTTGCAGCCATAGTAAACAATATTTAAAATCCTCGTCGCCAAATGTAATATCCAAGCTTTATTAACTATAAGTTGTTTTTCAAATACAATAATATCAAGCTCGCCATGCTCTGTTCGCCATGCGGTCTAGCTTATGTCCTCGCAAAGCATTGTTGTCTATATACGGTATGTGACGTTGACGTCATCATCACAGCATATACTATAGAAAGAGGTTGTTACATGCCAACTGCTTTTCACGGGCATAGTGCCACAATGCAACTTAGTGGCTTTAGCATATTTACATGGTACTACAAAAAACTGCAATTCCAATTTAACTATTGAACCGATCGAGTGAGATGCCAACAAAATCTTGATGTTATTGCAGCAATCAAAATTCTGTAGTTGATATTTCCGATATCTCTCCTCACTTTGCTTCAACGGAAAGATATTTTCCTTTATATCAATGCACTAAGCCTGTCGCCAAATGCCTGATGATTTAATAGACTAAAATTAGTAAAATATAATCAAAATGTCAACCCCTTAGACATGTGCAAATATTATTCCAGAAAACAAAGCAATTTAATAATTATAATCCCTTTATTAAACTAATTATATTAATCATACCTCTCGTATCGTTCTATTCTTCATTTGGCGTTCAAAATCATGCCAGATAATTTGTAGTTCCTCGGCTGAACAACTGAGCGGAACTCTGAACCCATACATTGTAAACATTTTGCTGCTTTGAGCGAGCGATTCAAAATTTTCATGTCGTTTTTAGACCTCGAGAAACATTTTGATATATACTCCTTCGAACTGACCAGGTAATTTCCAGATACCTTGAATATTTTGATGCATTATTAAACATTTCTAAAGTTTCTACTCACAAGCTTCGCTCCTCGCCCGAAGATGGCAAACTGAAAATAATTCAGGCCAAATTAAGCCTATTTAGGGGGTGGGGTACAATGACAAGTGCACAAGGTAACATAACAAGCCCACTTTGTTCGATTTATGGCAAGCCTCTCGCCCGAATTTTTTTCCAATACCCATTCGCCTGCTAAAACCCATAGAGGCGCCTGCGAAGGAGGCTAGCTATAACCTCCTTCCTCTAGATACAGTAAGTTCATACATTTCTGCATGTTTCTAAATATAAAACAATCCTTGGTTTGCAAGCCAAGTGAAACCATGCATAGTTAATGGAGAAGATGGTTTCGAAACTCATGGGAATAACAAAATAATCATTATTAGTCAATGTTTATGCAAAAATGTGGTACTTCGTTGTCACGTGCGTATTGTATTTTCGTCAAGTCCAACAATAACAATTCTTAAGTTACCGAATTATTGAATCATTGATAGATAACTTTCCTAAAACATTGCTATTGGCTGGTTCGGCAAAAATAGAATATGCATGCCATGATGAAGGGCCACATTGCTGAATACATCTAAACAAATAAAAAAATAAATAAAACAAAAACATAGATAATTCTCAAGAGTTCCCAAACCATCTCTTCTGTTAACTAGGTGAAATTAAATTGAGGTAGGAATTGATAAGTTTTGGTAAATTTGATTCTAAAATTTCCAAATAGAACAGCAATGTATGTGCACTACAGAAATTTTAGTATTATATTATAACAACAAATCACCACATCTACAAACCCCATAGATGGATATCCTGCAAAGAACGAAGGAGTGATATTCTGCAAATAACGAAGAATTTGACAAAGTATCATGCAGTATGACTACACAGCTTTGTTCAATTTGTTACAACTTTAGATGTCCCTTGCTCCGCCCCTGATTCTCACCTTCAAAGCATCTTCCTCTGAGCGATCCATAACTTGTAATATCAACGCAGCAATGACATTGAAGCCCTGACAATAACCCACTGCTTTATTCCATCGTGCGTACGCAAGCAGAACTCGTTTCAATACAGCACGTTCTTCTGGTGTCTCAAACTCACAAAACCAAGAGCATCCCGTACGGTGAAGATCCTGAATAAAAAGATAGTATAGCTTAAACTGGAATTCCATATAACTTTGTAGTAGGCAAGGCTTCCGAAAAATTTTCACTCCAATAAGGAGTGGAATCTGGATGTTAATTAAATTAACCATACTTTTATATTTTACGAATATCCACACATGCAATGTCTTTACATGCTCATAACAACTAATATGCACACACGTGTATAGGACATCTAGATCGACGAGGTATACCTAGACTTGCCACAAGTCGACCATGGGGGGGGGGAGCGCGCGACCCAAGCGACGATGTCGCGAGTGGTCGACTTGTGTCGCTTGAAGGAATTTAAATCGCATTAAAATTTTTGGCGCGAATATTTTTGACATATTAAAAACTGTGTTTACACTTCATACAATTACTTCACCGCGCGCCGACAATCATGGGTCTACAAAAACACAAAAACATTCTCAAGAATTGATATTTCTTTGTCCTCGAATGAAACAGTTTGCATCGAGTGTGGAAACGAAATAACTGACCCAAGTAAGCGCCGAAAGCTGTTTAATGTATCAACAAAAACAAGTGCATGTAAAAACGTATTGAATCTGGACAGTTGTTTGTCTAACAATGTGTGCCGTAATTGTGTCGACAAGAATAGTAATTTATTAGACTTATTAAAGAAGGTTGATTCAGTTGGCTAGCGATTTAACGTAGTATAGCAGTTAATCTAATTGAAAAGAATCAGACAACTGTAACCAAGAAGCAGAGAGGCGGCGATTGTGATCAACAAGAAGACGTCGCTATAGAGTTCAAAATCCAGTAAATCCTGTTTTCTCAACAAACGAATTTGTAATAATCAGTAATCGAGATCAAGAAACCCAAACTAAACCCGAAACTAGTGAGCAAATTTTAGAATCATCAGATGCATGCATTTTCGGTGACAGTATTAAAGCACAGAATAAGGAATAGAACCAGAAGGGACACTCATTTGATGTTAGGCGGTCGCGCCGACATAGGCCTGCATACACCCGCGAGAGAGCGGCGGCTATGTTCTTAGGTAGTATAGTGTGAGAATTTCACTATAAACAATATGGCGGAAACCGCACTATGATTATTAAAACTGCTCCTTTTGGAATCTAAGTGGACTATTTTCATCTGTTTTATGAATATATTGAAGAAAAGGTAAGCGACTTTCTATTTGTCAAGTCTGGTAGCGTAATTTTTTTTTGCACAATTTAGTTGCGAGTTTTTCTCGGGAGTATGAAGGCTCTCATGACAGCTAAATATATGTTTTGGTAGATTCTCGCACGTTTCAATATTTCTTTATTGTTTTAATAATTGTCCAAATTATTCCCTGGACGGGTTACTGATGGTCATTGATCATTTTACTATGTATACGGTACACAAAGTATTTCATGTGTATTATTTCAAAGCAGGACAAATAATCATTTTTATAATTCATACTCCAATAATTGGGGACAGCAAGCTTTCAAAACAGTCACTCCATGAAATTGATAAAGTAAATAAACTTATAAAGAAATTATTGATATGTCTAGCTATTTAAATGTGTTACTATCTAGTAGTCACTAGTCATCAAGTCATGGATACATTCATCAAGTTAATTTTAATAATTTGTTTTAAACTTCATGCAGGGATGGTTGCAGTCTTGCAGATGTTGAAAGGTCTTCTGCATCTTCAGAGTCCAAACAGTGATACCACATAGAACTCAATATTGGGTTAATTCGATACTTAATTATTTTTGGAATCACTATATTGACACAGACTATGCTTACAGAATGTGCTTTGATTGTCAGTGGTACATTAACTTTAAGGTTATGTGGATTATAGAGTGTTACTGGAATATACAAGACATTTAAAATCAGAAAATTGAGAAAGAATTAAGGGACTATTGAAGGTTTACAATTGCAAAGAAACTTAAAATGGTTGTTACATTAATTTGGTTGGCAGTATTTAATATGATTTGCTTAAGACCGATAGACTCTGGTCTAGTTCAGGTAGACCGATAGACTCTAGTCCTGATAGACTCTGGTCTACTTCATAAGTGCACTTGCCTTTCACCTCTGAGGCTGCAGGTTCAAGCCTCAGTGAGAACCTTCTCAATGCGACTCGAACCCAGTCATCATGTGAAAAGAGCAAACGTCAACGCTCTGCTGAAAGTCGTGGGTTTTCCCCGGGTACTCCGGTTTCCTCCCACAGGGAAAGTTGACAGGGTGGGTTAGGTAAAAAGGGCCCACAGTAATTGGCATATGCTGTTGTGGTGACCCTACCCTAGTTGGCAAAGCTAAATAAATAAAAAAATACATGTAAGGTTTCATGTGCCTGATGTGAGTGGACAAGTCATATTGTTTCAGCTCATTCTTGTTAGGTTTGATTTTTAATATACTACCTTCATTAGGTCATCTTAAAACATTTAGTGGCCATGAACTACCCCTTCACATTTCCTCGCAGTGCCATAACTAGACGCGATAATTTGGGGGGGGGGGGGCGCGTTGGTTGCATGTTCATATATATGTGTTCTGCCAGACGAATATAAGACTTCTTTTGAAATCGATTGCTTTTATGGTATGTTAACACATCAATATGCACCCCCCCCCCAATTATTATGCCCCCCCCCCCCAATTATTGCATCTTGTTACAGCCCGGACTCCGCCTAATCACAACGCAAAACAATTTTGAAATTAAAAGGATGATGAATCATCTGGTTTTAAAATTATGTATTACAACATTGAAAGTAATTTATTGCTATGTCTATGTGTATTGTAAATGCAAAAATCTTCTAGTTATGCCTAAAATACCAGGTTAGCACTATTTTCCATCCAGCAAACTGACCTGACGTCATTTTCGCAAGATAGAAGAGGTGTTAAATGGCTATATGTAACTAACCCAAACCCTACTCTAATCCCTAACCAGCCTCAACCCTAACTCTAACCCTAACCCTAACTGAATTAATAAAAAAATCCAAAAAGAAACGACTTTACGAAATCGATAGGGCGGTTTGCTGGATGGAAAAAAGTGCTAACCACAATACCAATTGTAAGAATTGTGTAAATAGGAGTAAAGTATATATTATGTGAGAGATATAGAAATATATTCATCTTCATTTGAAGCAATTGAAGGTAGTCCTTTCTGGTAACCAGTTCATCAATAAGTGTGTTTTCATACAAGAAATTTTCATATTATGACTTTAAGAAGGACAAAATTGCAGGCTTGCATTGATCTGCAGTCAACTGCTCCAACAATAAATTACGGGACAAATCCCTAAGCTTTTTTCGATTTCCCTTGAATGCTGAAAGGTAAGAAATTACTTTTTTTAAATAGGATGCTTTTGGTTTCATAAATTTAAAGTAGACATTATAGACTACAAACTTTTTTCTATTGCAGCAAGACATCAGTATATTTCTTTTTGGATGTGTTTATGAGAGGGAGTCTAAATTAATATGACCTAAGAAAACTTGTAAGAGGCCAGGTATAAAAAAGTGGATGGAGAACCATTCTTTATAAAATTATCTTATTAGAAGGGAAATTAAAGCATGGGCTTGGGTTTTATTAGAGAGAAGCCGGACACTCTGCAGCTACAGTACTTGTAAGTTGTAGAACCAATATTCATTTGAAAATTTTTCAAAATATATTAATCATTTCGGTGTATCTGTTCCGGTATGCTCTATTTAAAATAAGTTCTTACTTTGTTCGCGTAAATATATATTAAATTGCAATTATATGTAAAATAATTTGGACAAATTATTAAAAAAAAACACCATTTGTATGAGCCATATGATATGAGCTGTCATGAGAGCCTTCATACGCCCGAGCAAAACTCGCAACTAAATTGTGAAAAACAATTACGCTACCAGACTTGACAAATAGAAAGTCGCTTACCTTTTCTTCAATATATTCATAAAACAGATGAAAGTAGTCCACTTATATTCCAAAAGGAGCAGTTTTAATAATCATAGTGCGGTTTCCGCCATATTGTTTATAGTGAAATTCTCACACTATACTGTTTATAGTGAAATTCTCACACTCGTACTCAATGTAATGTTTGCCGTTTGTGTATTTTCACATGGTTTTTGTGTTCTACAAAATTGTATTTACATAATTGTTTACTCTGTTTGCTTCAATAATAAATATTAGTTCAACAAAAAAGCCTGAGAATATAATATTATTTAGTTTTTCGTTTTACCTCAAAAAACCACAACAGTCTGTTTCATCCCTATAGGAATGAAACAGACTGTTGTGGTTTTTTGAGGTAAAACGAAAAATTATATATATATATATATATAAGGGGCTTGTCCCCGAAACGTATAAATATAATTTATTTACTTTGAAGTTTTATGATTTCTTGATATTTATAAATGAAGATTTTTTGGGGCTGGCTCATATATATATATATATATATATATATATATATATATATATATATATATATATATATATATATATATATATATATATATATATATATATATATATATATATATATATATATATATATATATATATATATATATATATAGTAAATCACCAACCCTTCTCCGATCAAGTTCAATATCATATTAATATAAATAAATCACAAACTAAACTTTTTTATTACAACATTTATTCTAAACCAACGTTTCGGGGCATGCCCCTTCATCAAGGATGAATAACGAAGTCAATG